GCTCGGAGAACTAATGACCCCGCGCAGGCCATTTGAAATCGCCTAAAATCGTTTTCTAAACTCGTAATATTTTTCCCATTAGGCCTCCAAGATAATAAATAGAGGATTTTTATTTAACAAAAGTTAAAATTATAATAGAAGAAATTTGTTTTCCAAAAAAAAAGCTGCACTGTAAATTATTTTCTATAAACCCGTATACAAGCCCGGGCATTTTACATCACTAACCATGGGAACAATTTGTTATTTTCTTTACAAAATAATTACCTATTCTTCTTCTAGGTACAATCCCCTCACTACACTTGCCAGACCCCTAGGCCTATTTCTTAATTTCCCTACACCTGCAAATGAACCTTCCTTTTTGACCCCAAACTATCCCTCTACCTCAGCCCATTTTTCAGAACCAGAACTTCCTTCTAAGCCACCTATGCAGCAGCACACTCCTCATCGACAGCTGTTGCCAACAAAAAGTGGATGCAATAATGAGAGTGAGTTTAATTTTATTACATTTAAAGTAGGGGTAATCCTGATTAGTGCTTTGATGGTCTATTTTAAATACAGTGTGCGGCAAAATAGACCAATGTCTTTTCTGCATCACACTGTTCAGCAATAGGTCGTCACCGGTTTATCACCCTAAACTAAAACTATAATTGCATAAACTAGTTGGTTGATTTTTTGTCATGTGTCAAATTTAATGTGCTCATTCTTTGGCAGTTGTAATGTTTTATCTATGGGTAGGCCTATACATATAAATATACGTGCACATGTATAAATATATTTCAGATTTAATTTTTTTTCTCTGAACGGTTTTTGGGTATAAACGGAAGAGATTTTAAACACGTTTAAACTCATAGAAATAGTAACAAGATAATTAATTATTGATTATTTAAAAGAGCATAGTTTGAAATACATTTGGCTGTGTTTAAACTTTTTAGTTAATATACAAATTTGTACTTAGCTGGGAGTTTATTTGTTCCGGGCATACATTTACCCCACGTTTAACATAGGCCTATAAAATTTTTCTGTATAAGCACATTTCATTATTTTTAGTAACAACTGTATTTCCCATAGGTCTATTTACTACTGTTGCCGTATTATATTTCTTTCTAGATGAGCTCTAAAGTTGAAAACCATTCAAATTGCAAATACAATTGTTGCATTACATTGTATTTTATGTTTAATGTTGATTTGTGATTGATTTTAAATTAATTTTATATTTTCAGATTATAAATAGACTTTTTGTTATCGTCGGACAGCTCCAGGAAACAGTGGTTGTCCTCACAGACGCTGTGCAAAAAAGCAGAAAAATGGATGACTGTGCCATGTACAACGAAGAACAGGAAAATCGAAAATATGAAATAATAGGAAGGATATACGGTACCAGTTCAGAATTTGAAGGAGGTGGAAGAGTTAGAGAAGATATTAGAAATCCCTCAATTTAATAGGCAGTTGGTAAGTTTGTGTATTTTTCTTTGCACAAAAACATTCTTAACTAGTAACTTATCATATTCAGTATTTTGAACACTGATCTATGCTCTGAGATTCATAGCCGTCAGTAGTTTTCCCACCACAGCAAAGTACATAATTTTGAATTAATAAGTGATGTGGTCATTAATTTCCTGGTGCAGGAACGTTGAAAAAATAATGAATAGGGTCAACCGGGGCTAATATGAACACACCAAAATATTGGGGCTAATATGAACAATGACTTTTAAAAGTCATTTATCTGGGATTTTTAATCATGAAAAAAATATAATTAGAAAGGAAATTTATTGTATTTTTTGTGTCCATAATGAGAAAACTTCAAATTTGACTTTTAGGTACTTTAAAAAAATACTTTGTTAAAACACTTTTTTTCCGCCCAAAAAACTTTTCCGCGCAAAGTGAAAACTTTTGTTATAACAATTTTTACATTGGTTGTAGGAATAATCTTAAGCCTGAATTTTGTTAAATAAGAATTGGGGATTATTTTTCTTTTCCCAAAGTTAAAATATATTAATAACAGCCAAAGTTATAAGCTTTCAAAGTTGGGGGGCTAATGTGAACAGTACCGGTACCACCTTCCGCTATGTCGCTACAGTGTTAAAAACACTGGCTGACGGGGAGATCGAAGTGATGGGATTTAAATCCTGTGATGAGGAAAAAAATCATTCCTGAAAAAAGAAGATGATATATTTATTGTTTCTACCACTGACATTTTGGGGAAACTTCCAGCCCCTAATGTATGTGGAACCAGTGATAGACATAAGTATGTCTTCGACAAAATTGTCGAAGTTTTTGAGGCGTAAGTTCCTCAATAAACTTCTTTGAAGGCCTTACAGTGATAAAACAGTTTTAATTTTACAAAGACAACAGTTAAGGTGTTGAATAGGCCTAGCCCACATTTTTATATTTACCTAATAGGCCTAAAAGTGCAATAAACTGTCATTTGCCTAAACGAACAATTTGCATTGTCTTAAATTAGGCTATTGTTTTTTTTAAGTGCTTTAAACAATTTGTATGTGGAAGAAATTTTTAATAAATACTCAGGTATGTTGACAGATAATTTTTTTCTTCTTTATATCTTATTATTAGCCCTGTATAATATTTATAAATGGTTTAAAAAAAAGGGTTACCGTAGGGCGACCCGCGGCTCTCCAAAGATACCTTCATATCTCAAAAACTATTTAAGATAATATATTATTGCAACTGGTAGACTAGACCCTAGGCTTGTTCACAACAGCCCCCACATATGCCTAGTGTTGTAAATAACAGAGTTATTAAGAGTGTTCACATTAGCCCCATGGGCTGTTCACATTAGCCCCTTTTAGCGGGGCTAATGTGAACAGTGGTTTTTAATTTTTTTTTTTTAATAATGGTTACATTTATGGTTTTTGTTAGTAAATAAATAGATTCAGCTAAAAGAGCTGTATACACTACTATTTTTTCTTTTCTTCTGTCATTTACCATTTTTGAGTTAATGTCAAAAGTTTACTTTTTTTGTTCATATTAGCCCCGGTTGACCCTAGGTATCACAAAGTAAACTCAAAGCTGTAGCCTTTGGGTCTTTTTCAGGATGTTTTTATATCAATATTGTACAAACCCTTAAAATCTGAAATAATAGGCTGACCATAAAACATATTGATGCTTAAAAGGGATCGTAACAAGGTCTGACACACTTCCTGGTCAGGATTTTCACTGTCTGACTTTGACGTTTCTGTGCAGAAATAGAACTGTCTAGGTCACATGCTCGATGTTTAATTACAAACCTTAACTAGTCGAAACCTAAGCTTAAAGCTATGTTTAAATTAGACTTCATTTTGTCTTAAAAAAAATCCATTTATTTACAAATAAAGTAAAAATAGCTCCAAGTGCCTTTTAGAGAATTTCCCATGGAGAAGAAACTATTACCGTATGTCTCATGGTAAGACCTTAGACCCTGGACTGATTTACTTTTTTGTTTTGTGGTCCCCAGAGGCCAAAAACGCCATCTGTTCAAATCATGTCTAATATATAAAATTCTCGTGTCACAGTGTTAACATATTTGTGTCCGTTGGCGCGATAACTCAAGCAAAAATGATGCGATTTTGATTAAATTTGGTTTAAACGTGTAAACATTTGTTTATTCAAACAAGTTCGCGAACCAGCATAATCGGACTATGGGAACAGGGGTATATGGGGAGTAATTTTTGACCCTAAAAGCACAAAATTTCATAATTTTTCTCCAAAACAATTTTGTAGCTGCTTAAAAATGAAATAATTTTGTATATTGAAGCGTTGTTGTATGCCCAACGTATTGTATTTCATACTTAGCTATCGACATTTTAATTAAAAAACACACCTTAATATCTTCCGCGTTGCAGCAAACCTAAGATACTCACTAAAATTAATGTTATTTAAATAGGAAATAAATCTGAAAATTTTTAGGGAATATTTGATTAGAAATCAAGTTGGGTAAATGGAAATTTGCTTAGTCTGCAGGTTTGATGCGGCGGGAGTATTTTTAATTATTAATATAGGCCTATGTATGAATCTAAACATATGGTGTTTTCGGAATCTGGGGACCTCAAAACAAAAAAGTAAATCGGTCCTGGGTCCAGGTCTTACCATGAGATCTACGCTTATAGCCTATTCTCTTCATGGAAAATTCGCTAAAAAATGTTTACATTTTCCTGAAAAGTGAGTTATGATTGACTAATTGATACTGTTGTCTAAATAGTTAAAGGTTATATCCATACAGTGCTCTGCGGAGGGGTTATGATAAAAAGACACTAAATCTTATATTTTTGGGAATGCTAATATGCCTGCCCTTTAAACTTTAAGGCTAAACTTTACAAAATCAGCCTTGAAACAGTCTACCAATGAGAACAGATGGAGGAGCCCGGTACAGTAAAAAAGATAAAGACAACTGTTCAGGTTTTCCGCCATCTGTATTAGTCACTAACAGACTTTGGGGTTGTCTTGTTTAAAAATTGTGCATAAAGAAAACACATTAAGTTATGTTCGTCTTATCTTATCTTATCTGACAGGGGCAGGTCGAGACCTTAAAGCACTTCATCCGAAATCGAATTATTGCGCACCCCAGATACTTAATTGCTTTCTTGTTGACCTACAAGTTGAGGCGCCCAATGAATGCCTGTAGCTTCCCAATTAGTTCATCCTCAGGAAGATATCTACCTCTAGCCATATTTCCAAGAGTTATCGATCTAGCGTCAGAGAGCTCGTTACAATCAAAGAGTAAGTGATCAGCTGTCTCTTCTGACCTATCACAGTACCTACAGATCGGTTCACCATCATATAAGCCCATCCGTTGTAGATGTTTCCTGAATCTTCCATGACCAGTTATCAGTTCAACAATTAATTTAATTCTTCGTCTGTCTAGTCTCAAGAGGTCACAGGCAACCTTTTTGGAAGGCCTAAACAGAGTAAGCTTGCTGACCCTAAGAAGGGGAACATCGACCCAGCGTTTGCGATGCTTTTCCTTGGCCCATGACGCAATCGCAGAACATACACTGTTTCGTGAGATGCCACAGAAGGGTTGTGGGCCTAACAATGATGTCGCAGAGGCAGTATTTGCCAATCTGTCTGCAGCTTCATTTCCTTTAATGCCTGAGTGTCCTGGCACCCAGCAAAGCGTAAAGTTATTTCTCCTACCCAACTCAGACACAGAAGCAAGACAATCCCACACGAACCTGGAGTTGAATTCGTAAGAGTTTAATGCTTTTAAGGTCGCTTGACTATCAGTATAGATATTGATTGTTTTGTCTCTGATATCTTTGTTAAGATGTTCTTGAGCACAAACTAGAATGGCAGTGACCTCCGCTTGAAAGACAGTTGGGTCCCCATTGGAAGACAAATACCAGTGCCTCCATTCATCCAATGCACACCTGCTCCAGTGCCCCCATTTTTGATCTTAGAACCATCAGTATAGCATTCTAAGTCACCTGTGGGTATGGGTCCTTTTCCGCCAGACCAATCCTTACTATCTGGTAGGGGTGTGCGAAGCAGCAAGAAATTTTTGATTCGAAGCAACGATTCGATTCAAAAGATTTTCGATTCGATTCGATGCAACTCGATTCGAAGCAATACGGTATTTTTCTATTCATAATTGTCAATTGAGTGGATTAACAATAATTAAAATTTACCACATTTGTGTAATGCAAATTTTTGTTGATGTGGTATTAGGCCTATTCATACTTAACATATGAATTTTAGGTGAAAAAATATTTATTTTCAATCATAGGGATTAGAATAACCTGTGAGCTGGTTTACTTGCCTATTTCATAATTTTTACTTGGAATTGGCTCAATTGCAAGAAAGAAGAAAATATTTTTTTTATCAAGACATTAATTCTCATTTTAATAACTGTTTAAATAACTAAATAGGTACCGTCAGCTAAATTACAACAAATTTGAATGGAACTTAATATAAAAAGACCATTAAGAAATAAATTTAGCCTACATATCCTGTGGACCTGCTTCAGGACTGCAAGCAAGAAGAAAATAAAAATAATATGTTTCCACCATGCAATATGTATCATTCATTCCCTGCCTCCTAACATCCTTAGTATAATAACCTCACTCTTACATTATTTGTTACATCATCATAAATAAAGAATTATCTATTATTGGCATCAGTTAGTAGGCCTACAGCTTTACATAGGCATTATTTTTTATAGGACCTAAAAAAGTCCTAAAAGTGTACTAAGCAACATGACAAGTGGAGAACTCATTGAAGAAAAGATATTGTGTAAACTAATTTAGGCCCTACTATAAAACTAAAAAACAGTAAATAACACACAAACATTGTTTATGGTATAATTATTAAGGACTGTAAAAAATGCATATCATGTCATACAGTAGTACAGACCTACTGCAAGAGATTAAAATCCTAAAACAACTGATTTTGATAGCTAATGAATGAAATAAAACTCTATAAAATAAAGCCAAACAAAATCACAATTAATTAGGTACCCGAAAAGTAACTCTTAAATAATATATAGTAGATTAAAATAATATTAAATCAAGAGATAAGAAAGTTAAATGCTAACTTCTAATGCCCTTGGCAACACAGGTCAATGTTTTTAAACTACCCTCAATGTTTTTGGAACAGCAGGGTCTTTTTCTCTGAAGGAAGGGTAGTAGTATGTCAACAAAAAAAAATGAATCACTCTCCCCAGCCAAGCCCAGGCAACGATGTGTGCATTCAAGGTCATAGACCCTACCCCTCCCCTCTTATACCACCCGGTTGCTACCCAGTTGCTTCAATTGCTGACAAAATGCAAGTGATGAAACAAGGAAGTAGAGACAAAAAAATATATTTCTTTATTCAAAAACAAAACTGTTACAGATCATTTTCAAAGAAATTAATTCATTGTAATTTGTGAGTTGTAAATATTGTATTGGATCTTAGAAATATATTTTTTTAACCCCATCTAACCAAGATACAGATCTGTTCACTATATCAGATATTTATTTTGTTTATAATTTATTATGTAAAATACTAAAATATATTTTAAATTAGGTATGGAATAAATAATAAATGATTAAACTAGTATGTCTGGATAAATAGTCTATTCTTTTGACTTTGTTTTCTTTGCACTGTTAGTGTTGTGTAACAGCTTTTGTCTTGTCAATCTTGTCAGTAGACGAATAGACTAGCTCTGGCTAGTGGCAGTGCGGCAATTGCTCTGTTGTGTCTTTATTCGTGAGCCAACTTACTAATCTTTAATTCTCATTTGAACATTTTAATTCCTCTGTAATAATAGATATAATAATATAAGAGTGTTTCTTTGGAAATAAATTATTCTTTTTTTTCTCTTGCCCGAACAAAAATTGGGATCGGCAGACCACTAACAAAAATACCAAATGTATCAGTCTATAACATTAATCTTACTAGTTAAGTATTAAGTAACAATTTTTCAGACTTATTTTTTAAATCATTTTGGAGTGACCTATCTTGTTTTGGCTAAGTTTACAGTAGTAAAATATTTTTCACACTGCTTACATCAAGACAAAAAACAAAACCTCTCATCATTTGCAATGTCAAAACGAAAAAATATAAAACAATTAAAAGCTATATTTAATGCAAAGAATGTATTAAATAAGAACGCCTTCGTAAAGGAAACGCAACAGCAACGCGCTCCTGTATTGCGGGTATTGCGTTGACTTTCTGCAGGCGTTTTTCGTATATGGATACTGACTCCCTCATGAATCGAATCGTTTTTTGACCACCACTGAATCGAATCGCGATTCGATGCATCGAATCGAATCGAATCGAAATTTCGATGCATTTTCGATGCATCGCACACCCCTACTATCTGGCATTAGTACTTTGAAAGGCTTTCCAAAGGAGTATTTTTTGGACATGTGATCTGAAGGTAAGTCCAATTCATCATTATGTACCACCTGAACAATTTTGGAGTGCCCTTTATTGTTTCCTGAGGCTATCCATAAGTTTTCGCATCTAAGGCGTTGGGCTGTTTTACTTGCTACCACCTTAATATAAATGTCAATAGGTAGCATGTCAAGAAGACAGTCAAGTGTCGCTCCAGGACAGCTGCTTACTGCCCCAGTTATCATAATAAGAGCAAGCCTCTGAACTCCTGCTAAAGCTTTGACAGCTATAGTTGATTCCATCTTTGGCCACCACACAAGCGAACCATATGTAAGGGCGGGTCAAACAACAGATACATACAGCCAGTGCAAAAGTTTAGGCTGTAACCCCCATGTGCCACTTACCATCCGCCTGCATGCCATAAGGGACCATTTGCCACGCTCGTAATGCTCGCTTGTTATGTTCGTAAAAAAATTGACTGTCATTAAATGTGTGAATTGTACAAATTAACACAGCACTTATACTTTCATTAACTTTTTAACAGTTATCTTCATATTATGTCCACTTAATTAAACAATCAAATAATATATATATTTTTTTCAGTTTTCGACGGTTGATGTCCTACCAGGTTGCGGTAGAATACTCTTACAGCGGTAACACTGCAAGAAACAAAGAAAAGACGAAGAAAATTGCATTTTTTAAAACAAATGCCTGCAAAATCGGACACGGTAAGAAGCTAAATGTTTTTTATCACAATTTCTTTAGTGTTAATTGACAATCATAGTACATTGAGCTTGCATTTAACCTTCTGTCGGGCGGATTGATTTTCAAAAACCAAAGGGCGCTCACGGAAGTTACCTCTGGGAGTACGAAAACTATAGCCTACATGAGTTGAGTAAAACCACAGCCACCTCTAATACAAGGCCGCGGCGAGTGAAAAGCGGCAACGTCGCATCAGTGTCTTGGCGTTCGGTCGTTTTACCATTACAGTGAATGGAGGAGTCGCGTACTCTACGTACATAATCGCGTTTCTACTACCTTTAATCATTAGTAATGACGTTAAACTTCTTACTACAGCATGCCAGATAGATGTGATGTGCCTGGATGCAAGAATAATTACGATAGCTCGATTAAAAATGAATAATACATACAGTGTTCTAAGATTCTACTTGATCCACCGCGTAAGCAACAATTGCTTTCTGATATTCTTCGATCAAATTAGACATCTTAAAAATATTCTCGTTTTTGTGTGAAACATTTTTCACGAATATGAGCTTAGATTAAATTTGTAAAAAAATGTAAGAATAAGACAATGATTTGTGTAAATATAGACGCGAGAAGCAAGTTTTAGGTAGTAATACCGTACTTTTTCCTTATTTATTTGTCTATCTTATTGATAAATGCTGTTGTTAAGCGATTAAAATAACTTAAATAAATGCCACTTCAAAGAAATAAGCCGGTGTTTCTGTTAAGTAGGCCTACTAGTAAAAAAATATGCAACCTACTGCACCATCTAACAATAAAAGCATCATAGTCTCCGAATCCAGTCTGAATGTTGATGTGATAAAAAAATTCTATTAATATTGTGGAAAGCCATATGGAGGCCTAGCTTCTGAAATCGTTTACAAAATGGCAAACGTTTTTCTTATTAATTATTCAAAGAAAATAAATTATTTAGTCAGTATGCCTTCAAAATGAAAACTTCAAATTTTGTTTTCGCTAACTTATGGTTTCCTCAGGTAGACTAAAACATAATATTCCTATTAAAAATTAAAAATTAATTTTATTTGAACGAATGGTTAGGCTAGATGTTAGTCTCTACAAATCCCAAAGTCTCTACAAATATTGAAGTGGCAATAAGTTAGTCCTACTGTATAACCATTCTTGGTATAGTAGCTTTATTTTGTAAAATTTAAGCACAGTCTGTCTATTAGTTTTTACTATGTTGAATAATACACATATATACAGACACCATGAGATTGTTATATAATAGTGTAGATTATCAAATTAACAAAGGAAATATTTAAAGTTCATCTATATTTCTACATTCATCTTACTTACAATACGGTAAATGCAACCAAAAACATTATGTTTGTATATTTTTAGTTTTAGACATATTGCGGTATGTTGCAATTTTTCACTAAATAAACAACCTAGATTACAATTTTGTCTATTTTACAATACCTTAAAATCTACTAAAATATGTTATTACGTATTTAAATACTTTCATTCATTGATACAGAGCAGCAATACTCTCATTGATGTTCATGGCCTAGCGCGTGTGAAGACGGACGCAGAGGGGGTGTGATTGCGGCGTTGCCAGTTCGAACGTCGCGGCCTTGTATTAGAGGTGGCTGTGGTAAAACTCATCTAATAGCAATAAAACTGTAAGAAACAAATTTTGAGTTTTTACATGATTACTTAAGTTCTTTATAAAATAGTAAGTGTTAATTAAACAATACACATAGGCTACTTAAGTGTTGTGGATTAAAAAGACTTACTTTTTGTACATATACAGTACTATGATATACAATTTTTAATAGTGTATTACATAAAAACACGTATGGTCTAATGAAAATATTGATTTGTTACAAGGACAACTCATTTAATCAAAGCTCTTAGACAATTGCATCAGTGTATGACATAAAAACATCTGCATGGTCCTTATGAAAAATCTTTTTTATAAGGACAACTTATTTTTTCAAAGCTCTTTAAAAAATTGCAATAGTGTATGAAATAAAGTACCTATTGTCGGATGAAATAAATAATTTGTTAGAAGGACTACTCATATTGTCAAAGATCTTTTTCATTAAAAAAATAGTACCCGAACAAACCCGCCAGTGGGCCTTTCCACTAAATCTTCTTCCCTGTCCTCCCTTTCAACACTAGCCAACAATCTCGCTATTCGTTCTGCTTCATCCATTTTATAATATCAATAGATACGTTTAAACAAAAGGGCGCACACGGAAGCTACCTTGAGTGACGCAAACTACTTCCCAATGTTGTTTGACAACTGGGAAAGGGGTAAGAGTTGCCAAAAACCAATCCTGCAAAAGAGGTTCTTGAGGTACGGCAGGCAACAGCCCTGCCAAACACAAACTATGGTTTTTATAATGAAAAATGTTGTGACCCGGAGGTAACTTCCATGATGCGCCCGATGAAAGGTTAATTTTCTCTGAGTTAAACAAGCTCAGACCGGTGATTATAGATGTAGTAATGCCCTCAATCAGAGTTTGGACTCTGTTATTATATACTTCTTTAAAAGGATGGTTGATTACAGAAGCTGTAAAAAGAGTAAACCCAGTGGCAACTGAGGAAGTAGTGAAGACCTGGATGGGAAAGTGGCTGCAACAAGCAAAATACAGACTAGATCGAAAGTAAGTTAATTTTCTACCTTATAACATTGTAGATGAAGTTAATATATTTTTAGTTTTTGATGTATTCAAACAAATTCTCAAACAACTTTCACCTTTCTTGAAATCAGCATATGATTGACATTGAGTACAATCCAATAAATTGAAGTTGTCTGCCTACCATAAAGCGTGTTGTACGTTAACATGTTTTCTGACTTTATTTTCCGAGTATGTAAATAACTTTTTCAATAGGGCCAACTATACTTATTAAATGTGTTTAAACAATAAGGAACACTTGTTACATGACGAACTACAGTGACGTTGATTGTTGATTCCAAAACTTCCTTTTCGAGTGAAGGGAATTTAGTTCACAGGGAAAAATTATCATTCACTGTCATCTTGATTTATATGCATTCCAAGAATGTTCACCATTTTAGGTGCCAAAGAAAATATTTTGGTTGAATGTAATTGATCTTATGCCTAGATGAGGTAGCTTGAAAGCCTAAATTCAATTTCTTTGTCAATTAAAATGTATTGGCGGGTGCTTCCCGTAGCCAATGGGATATAAGTAGGGACGACATTCAGATTCTTGTCATTTGTCTATTGGGTCTGAGGATGATTGGAATGTCCAATCAAAATCGATCACCACTTACCATGTTTTTTGTATATCCCCTACCGTGTTAAAAGACGTTCCTTTTATTTACTTTCCCTTAATCTCAAGGCAACAACTCAAAATTGAAATTATTTATCAGTTTTAAACAGTGTTATTACAAAGCAGGGTTAATTTCTCATCTCGCCCTATCACCAGGCTGACACTTTATTTCTTTAAGCCTCTTCTTAACGAGGTTATGAGGGGTGTATTCTTTATTTGATACGTTCCCTTTTAATACTACTATTAATTTTCCCAGTATCTAATGCCATTGTACAATTTGTTATAGATCTTCTGAAGCAGGCGGAGGAGTTGAAGTTGGAGAAGAAATTGAAGAAGAGGAAGTAAAATAAATAATGGAAATTGTATTTACTATACATAGTAATAAATTATCTTGAAACGTGAATGCCTTGTTTTCTGGACCCAACAGATCTTTTTTATTAATATATCAATTTAACCGATTTTTTATCACTTGAGATTTATAATATGACCTTAATAATTTTTATGGAAAATAATAGGGCTGAAATATGAATGGAAAGTGAACGGTGGGAAATTGCTTTTACATTAAATATATATTTATACCAGCTGTAACCCGCGGGCTTTGCCCCGTTTAACTTCTTAATTTTCAAGATGATCTCGTTTGCATGGCTCAATCACGTCCTGGTTGAAGTTCGTTCGCTACGCTCACTCACCTTTAGATTGGAGCTCGTTCGCTACGCTCACTCACCTTTAGGTTGGAGCTCGTTCGCTGCGCCCACTTTCCTTCAGGTTAGCTCGTTCGCTACGCTCACTCGCCTCCAGGTTGAAGTTCGTTCGCTACGCTCACTCACCTTTTGGTTGCAAATTAGCTGTTGTCATAAATGTAAAAGAAATAATAGTGCTGCACCCTGTTGGTAATCCTTGTAACTTTAATGCTATTGAACATCATAGAACAGAACCAACTAGTTTAATTGAAACAGCTGTTAAGATTCATTAATTCCATTTCTCATAAGTTTAACATGGGAAACTCCAGAGCCACTGGGGCGGAGCCCGGAAGGATTTTTGGGATAAAAATATGCCTATATGTTAATCGGGAATATGAGCTATCATCATGCCGAATTTCAGCCCGATCCGACCAGTATTTTTTGCGTTCACTTGTCACAAACATACATCCATCCATACATCCATACATCTAAACTTTCACATTTATAATATTAGTAAGATTAAATTATTATCATTACAGCTTAAATATTATTATTTTCTCTAATCACACAGTGATTATTGTTTAAAAAATCCGAATTAAACACCTAAATTAAATTATTTAACACTAATAAGACAAATTCGTTAGTATTATCAGTATTACAGTAGGGTCCCGTAAACTCGGCACTGGATAACCCGGCAGTCTGGATAACTCGGCCATCACCTGGCTAAAAAATTAGTGATTTTTTGAGTCCAAAATAAACATGGACACAAGCCAGCTCAAGTATAATAATTTGCAACTCGTACTAAGGAGTTGTTGTACTATATCTGATGACTTAATACTGACTTGTAATATAAATCTAATTGAAAAAGGCGGTTGCTCTTATTTTTAACTCTAGTTCCCGATAACCCGGCATTTCACAAACTCGGCACCCTTCCAGTCCACATTACGCCGAGTTTGCGGGACTCTACTGTATCAACATTCTAAACAACATTATAAAGGTTTAGGGTTATGACATATTGATATCCTTATACAGGGTGTTTTTTTAAAAACTTGCATCTTTATTTATGTAAAAACCGCAATAGATAGAAATATGCAGTTTGCGGGAATCATCTATTGACGTAATTGGCCCAATTGTTTTGAATTCAACGTTACATTCACATTCCCCCCTTTCCCCCCTGCCCCCAACTTATTTTTTTTTTAAATAGCAAGGTACCCCTTGTGACATATCAAATAAAAGAGCATGAAAAAAGAAAATGTTTGATGAAAAAAAATTAAAAATCGGTTCATAAATTTGCGAGATATTTCCCCCCCCTTCCCCGAAACTTGATTATTTTTTTAATAGCAAAGTACCCCTTGTGACATATCAAATGAAAGAGCATGAAAAAAGAAAATTTTTGGTGAAAAAAACATTAAAATCGGCTCATGAATTTGTGAGATAATCCCCCCCTTTTTCCCCTACCCATCAGTTGTTTTTTAATAGCAAGGTACCCGCCCTTGTGACATATCAAATGAAAAATAAATTTCACCAAAAATTTTCTTTTTTCATGCTCTTTCATTTGATATGTCACAAGGGGTACTTTGCTATTAAAAAAAATCAAATTCCGGGGAAGGGGGGGGGGGAAATATCTCGCAAATTTATGAACCGATTTTTAATTTTTTTTCATCAAACATTTTCTTTTTTTATGCTCTTTCATTTGATATGTCATAAGCGGTACCTTGCTATTTAAAAAAAATAAGTTGGGGAAAGGGGGGGAATGTGAATGTAACGTTGAATTCAAAACAATTGGGCCCCCTACGTCAATAGATGATTCCCGCAAACTGCATATTTCTATCTATTGCGGTTTTTACATAAATAAAGATGCAAGTTTTTAAAAAAACACCCTGTATATAATACGTGAAGGTGATTTCTACGAAACACTACTCCTCCGTTAATAATGGACGGATTTTTACAAACGATGTGTCAACATTAAGTATTTTTTGACTAGACACCCCCTTTCACCAATTCCTGTAATATAAGTCCTCGCCTCAGGCTTTGCCCCACAGGCCATCAAAATCCCAATGTATTTCTTATGAAAAAATTATTTTGTTTACTAAACAGACGAATAATTTGTATTATTTACAGCTGTTCATAGTAAACACATGATACACACAAGAGCGTTCTTTTTCAGTTTCGATAACTAGAATGGAGTGATTGATTACATTATCTTTGAGTTTCCTCTTTTAAGTCATCGGAAATAATCATGACTGTTATTCGTTTTAAAATAACACCTGTAATACTTTGCAATTGCTCGAATTCGAGCAACAGGTGCACTAGTTTTAAAGTATTTTTTGAGAGCTATAACAAAACAACAATTGTGTACCAAGTTCAAAGTGAGTATGTCAGTGTGAGCTTGTTTACCCAAGTCTAACATGTAGGCTACCAAAACCAATTCCAATATGAGTCTAAGCCAGGTCCAATGTGAGCCTACTGAAATTGGGCTTGGGTCTCCAAGTCCCGAACAAGTCTATAATGAGCATCAGTGTGAGCTTGTTTGTCCAAGTCCAACATGTGCTAAAACCAATTCCAATATGAGTCTAAGCCAAGTCCAATGTGGGCCTACTGAAATTGGGCTTAGGTCCCCAAGTCCCAAACAAGTCCACAATGAGCCTTTTTTATCTACTAGACCCAGGTTGTGTTCATCATTCCAAGCTTTGAGTGGGTTTGTGTGCATGAGTTAACTGTAGGTTTGTGGTTGGGACGTGGGTTAGACTTGGGGAGCCAAACCCCTAACAAGTTGAACAACTGCCAACTTCGGTATCTAAAACAAGTCAAAACCAAGCCTACAGACTTGGGTCCCTGAGTTTAAACCAGGCTTAGGGACTTGGGCCAATGGACTTAGAACAAGTTCCCAGCAAGCCCATTGTGCTGTTGGGGTATGACCTACTTGAAATGCCGATTCCGACACCGAGCAGTTACCTCCCCTTTGGGGGCTAACTTACCCAATTTTTCACCTCCCAGGACGAGGCTACTTCCAGAGCCGAGGATATGCCTCACAAAATGTCAGTCGTACACAGCAGGCAGGACGAGCCCGAAGAACTCCAGTCACAACCACAGCTACAGGCAGGTGGGAGACCGAAGTCTCGCAGAGCTGAACACCCCTCCACCCTGAATGGAGGAAATGTCACTGGGTACTCTCACTTTGGGTACCACCCAAAGAGGCTGGCTTGTCCAGTCGTCCATAACTGTGGCCTACCTGAAGTGCCGGTTCAAACACCGGGCAATTACCTCCCCTCTGGAGGGCAAGAGCTAGGGTCCGCGTGGTCGCTAGGCCACGTACCCACGCAAGCGTGAGCCCCCTGCGGAAATTATTTAGTGTCCGCATAAGATTAATTAGCTATCAGCCCGAAGCTAACCGTGTGCCGAGGTAAATAATCGACATATTGTGGTGCGTTGTGGTGGTGCGGCCGAGCGGGTCTGTGCGGGCGAGTGGAGCAGTGAGGACACCACGTGGTGACAGACGTTTTGAGGTTATATGTCCGACCGCAAAATCAGTGATTATTTTACTCCTCGTAGATTTAAACGACATAGATACTCTAGTTCACCAGAGTTGGAATCGAACACAAACCCTGACAGGCGTGCTAGATTGACGTGCGATATGGATAGTGTAGCGGTAAGCAGTTTGACTATGGGTCAATTGTTAGAGGGACTAAATGATAACATAAGTAGACTACTAGACCAAAAACTCGCTAATCTAGCTTCCAAGCAGGATTTAGTCACCTTATCGATGGAGGTTAGTAACCTTAGTAAGGGATGTGATAAAATAAATGAAGACATAGACTCATTAAAGACCCAGAACTCGAGGTTGATTGCTAGAATAAATGACCTGGAGAGTCGTTCGCGGCGAAATAATCTCGTGTTTAGAGGACTAAAGTGGAGTGGTACACCGGATTTTTGTCAAATAATAAGGGACTTCTGTTCGGAGCATTTTGGAACTGATAAGTCTAAGTTATGGATCAATCGCGCACACCCCTTGGGGAGGGACGGTAAAGCCATTATAGCGCATATTCCGGATGACTATGACCTTGAATACATAATGGCTCATGTGAGGGACCTTAAAGGCACCAGGTATGTGGTCCATCGAGATTTGACTCGGGAGGTTAGAACGAAACGCGCCTATCTAGCCGAAGTCCGTACGGAAATTGAGAAAGTCTCCGGGAAGCTCAGAATGCCGATCGTCCACGACCATCTGAAGGTGGAGAACACTCGCTTCACCTGGGAGGAGAATAAATTGATGGCTGGGAGAGAAGACGGAGGCCAGAAGCTACTACACATCCTCGGCAAGGACTTCACGGATTTTCTTAAGAATCTCGCTGAGAAGGGCCCTGGGAAGAGGACAGACCGCAACCCAGATGTGAGAACAACGTACGCGGAGGCGATGAAAGTGGCGAGGGAGCAGCAGCACGTGACGACGGCGGCGGGTACGACCAAACCGACACCGACAGCATCGCCGGTGGAGTCCATGGCTTCATCTCCAGGTGCCAAGGTCTAGGGAGTGGACGCCGATCCTGTAAGTGTCACTACTTTCAGAGCGAACAAGGAACTTAGTATATTAGCATACAATGTTTGTGGACTTAAAAATAAGCTAGAGGATAATTTATTTATAGATTTTGTCAATGAGTATGATTTAATTTTTTTACAAGAAACATTTATTAATCACGAGCAACATGATTTAGTTTTTAAAAGACTAGTTAA